AGGTACAGGTTAACAGTTCTGATACTGCTTCACACGTAGAGTGGAACTGATTATGTAAATGGATGGTGGATGGTGGCAGCCAGGCTTCTCACTGTTGGGAATGGGAATTTACAAAGAAACGAGGAAAGGAGGCTAAAATGATCCATTTGTTAATGAATTAGAGTTGGTGACATCAGTAAGAATTCATGTTTATTAGCCAAGTACAGTTACAGCTGATCGCACACAAAAATGTTTATAATGTGTGTATCTACATGGATTAGTGTACACACATGTATTTCTTTGCTCTGTCAGATGACAGGACCTAAAAGAAGCAACACTCTAGTAGCAATATGCAAATCATCACCCAGATCCTGGGTTCTAATCCCATTCCCCAGTAAAAGGCCCTAGGGGTCCCTGGAGAAATGGCTGAGTGCAGGACTGGAGCACTGTAAAATGAGCCTGGGGCACCCTGTAATGCCAAAAGTAAGGAATTGTTAAAACTAAACAAGCAAGCCCACATTGACGGGAGCCAACTGAAATGGCTCCTGACAGCCAAAACTGTTAATATTTGAACAACAAAATAAATTCTGGATTGGATTATAACCCAAAATATCAATATCCATTGAGTCCACATTGATATGAATAAATCACTGAACAAATAAATGGGAGAAAAGAGACAAAATATTCCAGGTATATTACTTTAGCTTCTTTTATTTTTTAAAGAGTTTTATTTATTTATTTGACAGAGAGAGAGCACAAGCAGGGGGAGCATCAGACAGAGGGAGAAGCAGGATCCCCACTGAGCAGGGAGCCTGACGTGGGGCTCCATCCCATGACCCTGAGCCGAAGGCAGACGCTTAACCGACTGAGCCACCCAAGGGCCCCAATACTTTAGCTTCTAAGCGGGGGGAGCATCACACACTCCTCCAGTGTGTGGCTGCACATTAGAGACCTCCTTCCCAACAGTACAGGATGGAAAGAATGGGAAAAGAGAATAACTTCACAGTGGAGAAACCCGACAAATACTACTTCACCCTGTCGGCCAACACCGACAGTCATAGGTCAAGTTGATAGGATGCACCCTTGGTATGGTAACAATGGCACTTTACATCAGACAAATTCCAAGAGAGCAGAATTCCACAACACACCTGACTAGTGCTCCTAAAACGGTCAAGGTCACCACCAAAGACAAAGAAAGTCAGAGAAACCTTCACAGTCAACAGAAGCCCAATGAGACAATGACAACTAAATATAAGAGGAGATTCTGAAGCCAAAAAAAAAAAAAAAAAAAGGATATTAGGGGAAAACTAAGAAAATCCAAATAAATCATATAGTTAACAATAGTGTATCGATACTGATTCACTAACTGAAATGAATGTACCAAACTAAGGTTGAGATGTTAATAATCAGGGAAACAAGGTATCAGGTGTCCTGGAAATTTGTACTATCTTCATAATCTTTCTGTAAATCTAAAATTGCTCTGAAACATAAGGTCCATTAAAATTATTTTTTTAAAAAGCCAAGAAAGAAAACCCAGGACATATATGTAATACTGGTGTACAACAGAGGCGATATTACAAATTTATGTCAAAAGGACGCACTACTGAATAAGTGGTTTGTGGACTACTGGCTGTTCACGTGGGAAATAAAATTTGATTACTGTTTCACACCACATATAAATCACAGTTGGACTAAAATTCCAAATGTGTAAAAACAAACTATTTTCGTTATCAGAAGAAAATCTTAGAGAACATCTTCATGACCTTGCAGTAGTTAAGAAAGCGTAAGAAAAAATTAAAAAAAAAAAAACATTAACCATACAGAAAAGATTGATTTGTCCACAGAAAAGTTATCAACCTCAATAAAAGAAATACTATTTAAGAAAAAAAGGATAAAGGGTTGACCAAAAAAAATGGTGTTCAACCTAAAATGCCCCATAAATTATAAAATACAAATAAAGAAATTCTATAAAAACATAAGAAAATGATAATAGAAAAATGGGAAAGGATATGAACTGGCACATCAGAGAAACAAAGAGCCGTTACACAGATGGAAATATGCGCCTTATCAGTAGAAATGCACATTTAACACTGAAAATACCATGTTTTACCTATCAGATGGGTAAAAATTACATAGGTTTATTATAATTTGAAGCTCGGTAAGAACATGGGGGAAAGAATCCTTAATGAACTGTATGAACTAATGGATCGTTAAGTGTTTTAACCACTCTGGAGGACAACTTGACAACATCCATTCAATATTTACATCTTTTCTTCCAAAATATTACAAAAGGAGCAAAATCAAGTCTTTCATCAACAGAAGTATGGTTCACTAAATTGTGATACTATGGAAAAGTATGCCTTAGTTTAAAAGAATGAGGGAAATATACAGATGTATGTATAGATAGAAAGTTTATATATACATAGACACACACACACACACACACACCATGGAAATACAGTTCTGAGACAATACTTGGTATAGGAAAGAACGTTATAGAACAATCCAGAGAATGACAGAATCTGACTAAAAAGTAAAGACCTAAAACAATGTATTTATATACATCCATATATATTAACTGTTGAACGTACAGAACATTCTTGAAGGATACTTATCAAACGGAGAAAGAAAATGAGATTGGGGGCAGGGAAAGGGCAGGTAAAGAATTTCTTTCCTTTTTTATCTATGCATCTTTGACGAGCAGAGTGTATTTATGGATTGCTTGTGTAATTAAGCTTTTTTTCCTTAGTGAAATAAGCAGAAAGGGGAGGGGGAGAAACGGTATAACTTTTACATTGAGAGTATTTTCCCACATGAGTACCATGGGCATCAGAACAGCTGTGAGCCACTCTCTCCTGCGGCATGAGCACCTGCCCTTCGGTTACAATCTCCAGCTCTGTACCCTGGAGAAACACTGCTAAGCAATACCACATAGGGTAAAAAAGATCCCTGACCAGTACATCTGGTCTGCAAGGAACTACAAGGGAACCGTAAGCATCTCACGCATGCACCATGCTTTGGAGGTTCCCTGAATGCAGGGACTCTTGGAACAAGCACGTCTTCTCTGCTTGACTCAAACCTTGTCGGGACATATGGGTCAAAAAATATAACAAAGCCAAGTGTGAGTCACGCGGGCACTTGAGATTTGCACCAAGTGAGCCAGGTACGTGTGGAAAAGTCCTTTTCAAATTCTGAGTAGCCTCTGCTATTTTCATGAGCGACCCTTCGACTGCCCCCATGAACTATAAATACTCCATTTTAATCATTCTTTGAGATAGCTGTAAGCAACAATATTTTGCGTTCAATTAAACTGAGGCATTTTTGGCGAATAGCAAGGCATAAAACTTATTCATTACACAACTGTAGTAAATTTATGGCTCAAATAAATTTTATCTATAATTTCCCAAACCACTATGGAAAGTTAAATCATTCATTTTATATAGTAGAACACAATGTGGGACTATATAAAAACTAAAATGAAGAAAAAAAAATTTTCCAAAGGACCTGGCTTCCAAGTGAATGTCTTTGAGAAAAAAAGATTTTTTTATGTATTTGAAAATCAAAATCACTTCCTAAAAAAAACTAATCCTCGGTGTAAATTACAGTGGAAAAAAATCATTACTGATGGATAAAGACAAGACAAACCTTGCCAAAAGCTAAGTATGGATATGCTTGAGAGAGCAAAGAGTGGTATTTCCAAATCTGTGGTTCAGCTTTGTTGAAATTATGGTACCAGCACCTGCCCCACTGAAGACCACTATATCCCAGCTGCTTACAGAATGGCACCGGTTGAAACCAAATTCAGGACGGTCAGTGCAACACAGAGAACATTACTTTTAGTCACACACTACGCCACTTCTTTTGAGGGGGTCTTAAAAATGCAATGTGTAGCTCCTCAACCCCGCTCACATTGTTTTAATAGTTCCGTGAACGGTCCACGAATTTTTAAAAAGTGCTGATCCTCAGACCTATAAATACAGAAAACAAACTGATGGTTGCCAGAGGGGAGGCGGCCGGGGGGATGGGCAAAATGGGTGAAGGGACGTGGGAGATGCAGGCTTCTAGTTATGGGATGAGTAAGTCATGGGAGTTAAAGGCACAGCATAGGACATATAGTCGATGATACTATAACAGTGTTGTATGGTGACAGATGGTAGCTACACTTGCTGGGAGCACAGCATAAACCTACAGAGAAGCTGAGTCACTATGCTGTACACCTGAAACTAACGTAACATTGTGTATCGACCGTACTAAAAAACAAACAAAAAAAAAAACATTTTAATTAAAATTTCTTTTAAATGAGAAACAAAAAGTGCTGATTCTGGGGAACCCCAGAATAAGACTTCAAAGGGGCACTGACCTCCCTCGCCCACCTCCTGAAACAGGTCAGGAGCACAGGATTTTATACATACATACATACATACGAGTTTCTTCCCTTTCTTGGAACCCTTTATTCGAAGGACCACTGAATCTTACCACCGATAATAAAGGTGAAATATGCTTGTTTGTTTCACCGGAATCCCTTAATGACATATATCAACCTCAGAATCGTTTTTTAACCTCTGGGGACAGGAAGAAAGAAAATGCCAGAATGGAATAGATACTTCGTTTCATTTCTTAAAAAAGTTAGAAGTCTGGCATGGCAGAAAGTTCATACCTGCTATCAAATCTGAGTGAAGAATAAAAGGAATATCACGCTATTTGCCATGTTTTTGTATGTTTTAAGATACTCATTTTTTTGAAAGCAATTTAAACACATGGCATTACTCCAAAAGGCAAGCCCGTACGAGAGCATCAGCACGAGCCACCACTCCCTAGAGAAAACAGTGGTTCATCAAGGTCCTCTGACAACTTTTATCTTGCGAGGATGCATCAGAGTTGACATTTTGTGCCCCTCACCGCGGGTTCCAGAAAAACAGCGTGTTCTGTTTGCGCTTACTTAAAGCAACGCTGTTTTCCACGGTGAACAAAAAAATTTCAGTAAGAATGGAAGGAAACCTGGCCCTAGTGGGTTCACATACCTGTGTCGCTCCCAGATCCTGTTGACAAAGCTGGCATGATGCAAGCCGCTGAAGGCTGGGACAGCCACACCACTCACCACTTAGAAAGCCACAGAGAACTGCAGTCAGTAGCCTGCAGCCACGCTGTCGACCAAGATTTATATATCGAGCAGGCCGTTTCTAAAAAGAGAAGAAAACACTTTAAAAATAATAATAGGGAAGACTACTAAATTGCAACATTCTGAGACTAATTCAGAGTTCTTATTCCAACACGCTTACCAGAGATCACGATTCTTCCAAATTTTGTCTACATGCTACGTGCACATATGAAGTATGAGAGTTTTTGATTTGGATGTGAAATTTCTAATTAAAACCACAAAAGCTCCTCACGCAGGTATCAAGGCTTCCTGAAAGATTTTTGCAGTTGGTTTGAGGGCTGCTGAATGCAGACTGAGAACGTAAAGAAGGTTTTTAACGCCAGTGCTATTCTCAAATCCTCTGCCTCTGTTACCGAGATCCCACGCTCTATTTCTAATGCAGAACAGCGACTCTGTAGATGGCCAACAACTTATAAATACTTGTAATTTTTTTAAATAGCTCATCCTAATATGCCAACTGCAAAGTTCTCTAACTGAAACTGCAAATCACCTGGAGAAACTACTAGAATTGAAGATGGTAGAGATTCCCAGAAGTGTTAACAATCAAAACGAGACCTCCCAATCCAAGCTAATACACAAAAGTCAATTCTTTCGGTAAAATACTAAGCTTGGACGCACTTTGCAAAATACCAGTTTTTTTCAAAAGTTGTTTTAACTACGGTTTATTCGGACAGAAGCAGTAAGGCACTGTTGTCTCGTAGCCGAAGAGCAAGGACTCCAGAGTTTGGCCTAATCTCTCAACCTGCTAAATCTGTGATCTTGGACAATTTATTTAATCTCACTGCGCCTTCACTACCTTCTATACAAATGGAGATTAACAGCAATTTAGAACCATTTGATAATTAAATACGCTAAGGCTCACAACACAGCATCTGGCAGGTGACCAGCAAACAAGAAATGCTGGCTATTATGACTGGAGCTGTTTAATTCAGGCAATGAGATTATAAAATGAAAACATAAAGGAAAGTAGCAAGATTAAAATTTACACTGGCCTGACACCTAGGAGAAGGCCGTGTGGTTTAAATTTGGACCACTGTTGCCTAATAACAGAAAATACACTACATTTACATTTTTTAGAAATCAGAAGCCCCACACAATGTGTTTAAGTCCATTTTTAATGGATTTTTCCCCAGTTCTCTATAAAGCAAATTCAGTAATTTAAAAGCATATTATATTAACAAGAAAAACATATTATAAACACAAAAAACTGGCTCACTTCAACCCATGAAGCCTTTAAATTGCTGATTCATATTACAGGATAAGGAATAATGAGGTTGCCAAATTTCACTTGAAAAAGTCTTAGCTGCAAAATTCTATTAAAACCTTCTAAATTAGCTTTTTAACTCTCAAAGCGAATGTTAGTATGAAAAAATTCACCAAAGAGACTATCTTGAACCAGACTATCTGAAGCAATGACCTGCACTTTGTTTCATATTACAAAGGCTAAGTTAAAATATGCACAGAAGATTGGTAATTGAAAATATGAAGCCAGTTATTTTAAATACCAAATAAAATATAAATCACGAAGCTAAAAAGTAAGTGAAAAAGACAAGTTTCATTAATTCCCATCTCTGAGGCTGTTTTCCCCGATAATTTTAAGAGGCAATTCTGTTTTGCTTTCATAAATTATTCTAACAATCAGGATTAAAATTCAACTACATAAAAGTGTTCCTTAATTCAAACACAAAAGTAGTAAGAAACAGACCATACGTGATTTAAAGGCACTCAATAAGACTTGTTTTGATGAGAAAAAAAGGAGGAAATGGTTGAAATTTGCAAAGCGTATGCACATTCATTTCTACCATTAGGGCAATATGTATATGTGTGTGGGTAGATACTATATGTGTGTGTTATGTGGATAATTTAAGCTCCTTATGCCATAAATCATAATTTAAATAGTATAGACTGCTTAACTACAGAAATATACAATAGTCTATATACCATATATGCTACCCCCCTCTTCACACCTTAAAGAACTTACAATCCTTCACTTTTCTAAACCACAAACACCATATAATAAGAGATCTTATATCAAACATTCTATTACTGGGGCGCCTGGGTGGCTCAGTTGGTTGAGCAACTGCCTTCGGCTCAGGTCATGATCCTGGAGTCCCGGGATCGAGTCCCGCATCGGGCTCCCTGCTCAGCAGGGAGTCTGCTTCTCCCTTTGACCCTCTTCCCTCTTGTGCTCTCTCTCTCTCATTCTCTCTCTGTCAAATAAATAAATAAAATCTTAAAAAAAAATCTTAAAAAAAAAAACATTCTATTACTACTAAGACAACCTTACATTCGCATGGCAAAACATCCTTCTGAGTTGATATTCCCGCTGCACACATAAAGCCACTTATGAAAGGCCTCAGCATTTCTCACTTTTTATTTCATGACAAACACCCAAGGTTAAATTTTTCCAGTCATATTACTTAAGAAATATATGCTACAAAGTAATTATCTTCTCAGAACATATGTTAAGTATATGTTATAAGTATAACGTAAGTATAAGCGTAAGTATACTTGCAAAAGTATACAAAGTAAATGGTTTGATAAAAATCCCAACCAGTAAAAACTGCTTACTAGTTTGTGGACCGAAGCAGAGTTGCTGGGTTTAACTTTCAAACTGAGCTAAATTTTTGTAGTAATCATGTTATTTTCTTTGGCTAAATTTATTGAAAATACTTTGGAATTTGTCAGAAACCAGCCATAATTATTACTGACTGTTGTATGGAATCAATTTACTACAACACAAAAATACCAGCTGTTACAGTATGTCCTGAGAGGGATTACCGAATATTCTTAAATTGAAGTTCAATCCATCTTTCCATAAAAAGAGAGAGACCCAAACGCCAGGAACCCAACAGCGGTATCAAGTGCACCTGAAACATTTACAATACCCAATAGAACTATTACAACCCTCCTTTAAAAAGGCTTATTTTTGAAATTTCATTATTCCAGTCGTACCTTGCTTCTATATATCACACAGTATCAGGTTCTTCTGGCATTGATCATGTGGAAACAGAGAAATATGTGAAGGTCTATGAGCTTACAACGTTCAGTTTCTACTGGCCCTGGGTAACCCCCTTAGGGCTCCCGTGGCATTCATGACATCTAATGGTCAACCGCGGAAGTGCAAGTGTTTGTTGCAGAAAGCTTTTTTTGGTTGAGTTTTCCGTAAAGCAAAAATTGTCTTATTGCACCCAGAGAAATGATCATCTGCAGAAATTTTCATTAATATGCACACACAACTATTAAGAAACATACACTCCCCCTGGGTGTCTCCCATCCCTCTCAATACTTCACTGTAACACCGCTTCTGACACCAACTGTGGTTTTCCAACACCAAGCAATCCTGCAGCACAAGCTGAGTGTCCTGCAATTTGAGTCAATTCTGGCACTCTCCACCTGAAGACAGCATCCCATCCCACAGGTTAAGGGCACAGTCCCACAAGACTGCCCACGCCCCCATGTTCATTGCAAGTTCAGGCGGTCACCTGTGCTTCTAATCAATTCACTATAAATCAGAGGTTCCCACGAACCCCGGCTTGGTTTTTATTAATTTGCTAGAGCCACTCAAAGAACTCAGGAAAACATTTACTGACTAGACCACCGGTTTATTAGATACAACTCCGGAACAGCCAGATGGAAGAGATGCACAGGGCTCCCATGCCCTCTCACTCTCTGTGTGCGCGACTCCCTCCCCACCCCCCATCTCCACGTTCACCAACCCAGAAGCACTCTGAACTCTGTCCTTTCAGGTTTTTATGGAGACTTCATTCTACAGGCACAAGTGATTCAATCCCTGACCACTGGTGACTGATGCTGCCCTTAGCCCCCCGCACATCTCCAGAGGTAGAACGGCAAATTCCAACTCTCTAATCAAGGCTGGTCCACAGGCAACCAGCCTCCACTCTCAGGAGCTTTACCAAAGGCACCGTGTTACCATAATCTCAGGTGTGGCTGAAAGGGGCACATTATCAGGAACAAGATAACCTTTATCACTATTACCACCTAGGGTTTTATTAGGAGCTCTGTGCCAAAAATGGGAGGCAAAACCAAATATATCTTTCTTATCATAAAGCACAATACGACACCTAACCACAAGTTTAAGCAGATGAACAAGAAATCAAATGCTGGACCTAGTTTCCAAACACTTTTCCTCCCACAGAGTATGCAAGAACATGAAAACATTTTTAGATTTTATTTATGTATTTATTTTAGAGAGAGAGAGAGAGAGAGAGAACGGGAGCAGGGGGAGAAGGAGAGAGAGAATCTCAAGCAGACTCCACGCTGAGCACAGAGCCCAACATGGGGCTCAATCTCATGACCCTGAGATCATGACCTGAGCTGAAATCAAGAGTTGGACGCTTAACCGACTGAGCCACCTGGGCGCCCCAACTTTTAATCAGCTCATGGTAAGTATTTAAAAATCCTATTAATATTCTACCGTTTCAGGAGACAGTAACTGTACCCAGTAATCCAACTGCAGGTTACTTCACCAGTCACCAATATTCTAAGGTACGCTTTCAAAATCGGATAGAGCAATAAAATAATACAAAGAGGAAACTTCTTCTAAAAAAAATTTATGATCCCAGGTCCTGGCATGGAGTCCCACATCAGGCTCCTTGCTCAGCGGGGAGCCTGCTTCTCCCTCTGCCTGCCGCTCCCCCTGCTTGTGCTCTCTCTGGCAAATAAATAAAATCTTAAAAAAAAAATTTGTATCAGATTTTTTTAGAAGCTCAATTTGAAAGATTTATTAGTTATATATTAGCCAATGCAAGGAGCAAACTGGTATCTGTTAACATTATTGAAAACTTCATAAATTAGAACTGTAAGACAATAAAGGAGGCAACACATAGCTAGGTGGCATAAATCTGCTTATGTAAAATGGTAGTTATACCAGCAGTTCTCTGAGTGTGGGCTTCAGACCCCCAGTGGTCTCCCAAGACCCTCTCAGAGGGGTTCATGAGGTCAAATTATCTTCATACAAATACCGAGATGCCATTTGCCTTTTGTACTGTGTCGACATCCGCACTGATGGTGAAAATGGGAAAGACTGCTAGTACCAAATTGAAATTATTTGTCCTTGTACTCTTCAGTGCCAAGCACTCTCATCAGAAAAGAAGAAAAAGAGGAGGAGAAAGAGGGAAAAAAAAATGTTCACTCTAGAATGTTCTTAATGAAGTAAAAAGTTCTGAATCAAATTACTAAATGATTGCCTCTTCAGCATCCATCTTCTTACTATTCGGTGCGATGAAAGGACAAGCACCCAGAAAGTACGGCTGCTGTAAATGAAGTCATGTCTGTCTCAAAGAAAAACATCTGTGTGATGGTTTCTGTAAGCCAAACTAGTCGGTTTTTGCGTGGAAAACTATTTTTACTTAAAAGAACAACTGAAAGACAAGTTATCCAGCTATTCACCTTAATCAGGCTTGAGTATTTGGTAAACATTTTCTTGAAAAGGAATGAAATGAATCTGGGACTTTGAAAAAAACTAACAGTATGTGTTGCTAATGATAAAACAGAAGCTTTCGAGCAAAAAATAGAATTGTATAAAACTTGCGTCCACTAGAGGCTGCCGTGGCCTCACTTTGCGAGGTGCTGAGAAAAGCAAACACACTAGAATCCAGCCCCTATTTTGCATAGTTCCAGTAGCTTCTCAATACACAAAGGCTCTTCTGATAGCAGTGGCAATATTAACCAATGTGATTTTTTACAAAGTGTCTACATGTGGATTGTGAACCAATATTTTTTGAAAATATCAATATATGATATTAGAAAATCATGCATGAATAAAAGATTCATTCAAAGCGCAAGACAAAGCAATGGATTTCATAGTTCCAATATGGTTAAGTTTATGGATACATTTTCAGATTTCACATTGCAATTCCTTTTTTTTTAATGTTTTATTTATTTATTCATGAGAGTCAGAGAGAAAGAGACAGCGGCAGAGGCAGAGAGAGAAGCAGGCTCCCAGCGGAGCAGGGACCCCAATGCGGGACTCGATCCCAGGACCCTGGGATCATGACCTGAGCCGAAGGCAGACGCTTAACCATCTGAGCCGCCCAGGCGCCCTGCAATTCCCTTTAATAAACAACCATGCAACAAGCTTTGGTGTCGTATCAAAGAACCTCCACAATTCACTGAAAGGGCTATCAAAACACTCATCCCTTGTCCATCTGCAGGCCTGTGTCATTTTCTTCATATCCTTCAACCAAAACATATAGCACAGATATGGAAATGGCGATCTATTAATCCAGGCACTAGAGAAATTCCCAACTTACTGAAGCTTTTGTTTTGGGAAAGAGTTATTCTTCATAGAAATGTTATTTTGGGGCACCTGGGTGGCTCCGTGACTTAGACGTCTGACTCCTGATTTTGACTCAGGTCAGGATCTCAAGGCCCCACCTCGGGCTCTGTGTTGGGCGTGGAACGTGCTTAAGATTCTCTCTCTCTCTCTCTCTGCCCCTCCCCCTCATCTCTCTCAATCCACCTCTTTAGAAAAAAACAAATGTTATTTATGTTAACAGGTAACAAGTTTAATATCGTTATTTTATTTTTCAGTAATCTCTACACCCAATGTGGGGCTGGAACTCACAACCCTGAGATCAAGAGTCACACACTCTACCGACTGAGCCAGCCAGGCGCTCCTAGTATCGTTATTTTTAAATGAATTGAAATAATTTTTTTCATTACTCAGTTTTAATTTCCAATATGGTAAACATCAGTATAATGCACATAAATAAAATTCTTTGGAGTCTTTAATAATTTTTAAGAGTGTAAAAATGTCCAGAGACCCTAAAAGCCAAGAACTGCTATTGTATGCCAGGGATAAGCACACATTTCCTGCCAAACCAGTAAATATTTTAGCCTTTGTGGTCCATATGGTCTCTGTCTCAACACAGGCAATAGACATATGAGTTTGGTATGACTTTGTTCCTATAATATTTTATTTACAGAGACTGAGAGAGGGAAGAGTTTGCTGACCACTATTCTATGCCATGACACCCTATCTGCTAATCCCCTACAGATCTAAAAGTAGCATGCTTTCCAATAACATTTTTATTATTTTTTTAAATATTCAAAGGAAATGAGTTTCTAAAAACTATTTCCACTGTTTAATGCAGAAATGTATGCAAAACAACAGTTACAGATTTTTAAACTATGCAGTTCCTAATCATACACAAGTCACATTTGAATTTTGTCTATTCCAAGAATCTTGTAGTCTGTCAGTACACCAAGAAAATTAAAACCAACTTAAAACTGGCAACATGTTAACTGCTATATGTAAGCAAATATGCTTTATACAACCAAACACAAAAAATCCTATCTCTCAAGGAAAAGGGGAAAATTATGAAAGGTTAAAAACACGTCACATTTTATCAACTCAAGAGGGTTCAATTATCACATAACACAAAACTCCTATCATCTCCTTTCCACAAATGGAAAGGAAGATAACAAAGCAAGAGAAAAAACAGAATCCCATTGAAAGAATCCTGTAACATTTTGAAGACTCAAAAGAGGAGAAACACTGCTTTATAACCCCCAGGTGAAGACACCCAAGCTTTAAAGCCATTAGGGAAGTCTGCAAGGAGCACTGGCACACTTGCTCAAGGGGCATTAATCACACAGGTCAGGGCTGCCCTGGTCAGAGTTCTTGGTGAGAAGGCACACACTGTCCCACTCGCTCACTCAGGTCCCCCCGTCTGGAAGCACTGGTGTAATGAATGAACTGACACTCACAAGCAACGACCTCATTCCGGACTATGCAAACCATCCACAGCAAATCAGTGCATCATGACCCCCGGGGTTTTCCCCCAGACCGCCCTCAAGTAAAACCAGCGGCATTTCTAGAGCTGTACACTCCCCCATCTCTCACAGTGGGACACTTCTTTTCTGATAATGACTTTTTTTCATTATATTTATGTTCTACCACCCACTACTAAAAAGTATTGGATAGTCTTCAAGATTATACCATTAACCATCAACGACCCACTTTTTTTTTTCCCTGTATTTTGACACTCTCCTCTAATTGCAGGGGATGATAACTTCATATTTTCCTTGACCAATTCTCAACTCCAGATCCATCCCAGCATTCCATCAGCATTCCCTTAAGTCCTTTCTATTGGAAAAACCAATCTTGTAATCACCTTTAATAATTAAGATACATCAACATAATTTTCTATTTTTGTTGGGCTTTCATCCCCCACTAGATTTCCCTAAGGATGGAACCCGTATCATCATGTGTCCTTAAAAACTGCATAATGAACCTTATTCAGAAGTCCTTTGACCCGTTCCAACCCTCCAAGAGCTCCCTTTCCCTTCAAGGTCAGAATAACCTCATTAGTTTACCTATGGGGAGACAGCATTGCCTAATGAGGAGAGCACAGATTTTGAAATGAGACAGACTAGCTCTGCCGTACTGACTCCCTGGTCTTGGCCAGGCTATTTAATGAAATGAGATTAAATGCAATGACATAAGTAAAACACCTAACCTGTAACAGCCAATCAACAGATGACAGCTTTATTAACACTCTTCGACCTCATTTTCATCACCCTACTTCTCATTTCCTCCAATCTAGCAAGCTTTTTGAGGTTCTATAACGAAAAGAATACAGGCTTTGGTGAGAGACCAGTCTCCTGATTCTACCATGTGCCACATGCACAACTTAAGGTATGAGACCTTGGGAAACCAATAAAATACCAATTTAAGTTATATATACATGTGTACCTATATATGATGTATAAACATATAAATACAAATATATATAAATACACATATATGTATATGTGTTTATATATATTTATATAAAAATAAATATGTAGGGCGCCTGGGTGGCTCAGATGGTTAAGCGTCTGCCTTCACCTCAGGTCATGATCCCAGAGTCCTGGGATCGAGTCCTGCATCGGGCTCCCTGCTCCTTGGGAGCCTGCTTCTCCCTCTGCCTCTCTGTCTCTCATGAATAAATAAAAATCTTTTAAAATAAATAAATAAGTAAATAAATATGTAAATATAAATACACATACATTTATACATACATATAAATATAAATACATACATGTATATAAATGTTAGTGAAAGTAACATTGAGTGCATACAATTTCCCAGACATTAGGTTAAAAACTCAACATATATATATAATATTTATATATTTATATTTATATACTTATATATAAATGTAATTTATATTTGTTAGTGACAAATAACATTGAGTGCATACAATTTCCCAGATATTAGGTTAAAAACTCAACATGCATGATTTAATCCTTAAAATAATCCTAAAATGTAGGCACTATGATAATTTTACAGATGAGGAAACTGAATTTTAAGGACCTTAAGTCCACAGCTTTTTGAAAGGATTCTAATGCCAACATGTATGGATCTGATGCCCATTCTGCCAATCACACTACACAATGCTGCCCCTTAACTCTCTTATTTAACCTTTCCCATTCAGTCTCCTTAGCTATCAAATGGAAATAGTATCTCTTGACTCACTTTTGGTGGTGGCTAAATGAAATCTATCTAAAGCACTGGAAACACACCAGATGCTCAAAGACTACCTTCCCCCTTCCCACAACCTTTCCTTTGATATCCTTGTTTTATTTTATGCTGTTTATTTATAAATAAGAAAACTGCCCACTTTATGTCCACATCCTCTAGCTTGCTCTTCAGTCCCCTGACATCGCGCCTTCTCTGACTGACCACCCAAAACCTCAGGTAGGTTCAGGAAACAATATTCCCAGGCTTCAATCCATTGGTTTTGAACACTTAGGACTACACATCTACAAAGCCCATACCCTATTTATAGCCACAGATATGTCCAGAAAACTACTGTCACATCTTGCAAGGTAGCTAAAGATATTGTTCCTCTATGTTCTGTACGGTAAACAGTGGACTATGTTAGAAGCTCAAGAACATGATTCAGACATTACTGAATCTTTCTTATTAACAAAATGTCACCAGAGCACTGACTAGAATTCATAGTAAATTCAAAATTTCATGAAAAGCCTAAAAATAAACCAGCCAAC